AGGTAGATATGAAAATTCTTAAATATCTAAAATAAGTATCAAAAATTCACTGAAGACCACAACTGAGCGGTTGGTGTTTTTTTTTAATACTTGCGATGTTTTTCAAGTTAGGATTTATTTGGTAATTTTGAGATTTTTATTTATATGGTTGTGGTTATAGTATAAACAACATGTATTTGTAAACAAAATTAACAAATAAAACCTTACTTGAAAAACATTGTAAGTATTAAAAAAATCACATACACTGGCGATCAGTACTGAGTGAAAAGCTCGGTGTATATTTGTAATTGTTCGTGCTTTAATCAAAGCTATATAGATCAAAGTTTCAAACCTTATCCAAAATTAGGAAAATTCAAAAAAATGTTTATCAAATTTCTAACTTTTCAATCTGAATCTTTAGAAATTTTTTGGGTATGCAGTTACATACCTCATAATTACTAAAGATCGTCGGTTAAGAAATTGCGTTGATTTTTAGTAATTATCAGCTATGTAACTGCATACCCAAAAATTTTCTAAAGTTTCAGATTGAAAAGTTAGAAATTTTGATAAAAAGTTTTTTGAATTTTCCTAATTTTGGATAAGGGTTGAAACTCTGATCTATATAGCTTTGATTAAAGCATGAACAATTACAAATAGAAATTACAAAAAAAGTTTAACTTGAAAAATATTGTGAATACCTAAAAAACACCATTCACTGAGTATGGATCACCAGTTTACATATGTAAAAAATTAAATTAACTTCCAGAAAAAAACCATTTTAAAAAAGAATTTCCACGAAAAAAATGTATAGCCTAACTATCGGGCCTTCGCTTAAGAAAAGCCTCTAGCAATTCCATTTTTTTCTTGGCCATCTCCTCCCTCAACTGAGCCTTTTCTTCCTTAAATTGCATATCGATGGCTGAGTGGAAGATCGACCTATCTCGGCAGCCAGTTCGAAAACGCTCTATCTCAAAAAACTTTTCAAGAACGCCCTATTTCAGAATTCGTTTCAAAAACGCCCTATCTCAGCTGCCGATTCAAAAACGCCCTATATCAGCATATTTTCAATACATTTTGAAGTGAGATAGGGCGTTTTTGAACCGAATTTTGAGATAGGGTGTTT